GGCACACGAGTGTAATCCCAGCATTCGGGAGGCTGAGGCAGGAGGATCACTGCGAGTTTGAGACCAGCCTGGGCTACAAAGTGAGCTCAAGGCCAGCCTGAACTGCATAGGGAGACCCCGTCTCAAAAAGACAAAAAAAAAAAGTTCCCAGTGAGCTCCCAGCCAAGGCTCTTCAGCTGTTTCTCTGCAGTCACCTCCCCACCTTCTGACCTCTCCACCCTGTGCTGGGGGAAAGAGGATTAGAGGGAGAGGGAAGCCATCCCGTGGCCCGCTGTGTGTCATCTGGCGCTGGTGCCCTCTGGGAATGGACAGTGTCCAAGCTGACTTTCCCTTCCAGGTTCGACCTCAGAGGTCGTCCTTCCCTTCACTCTACCCTGGCTGCTTCCTACGCAGATTTTGACGACTTGCTGCTCATCCTCGGCTTCTGTGGGTCTCTTACCTGCAAGATGCCCTTCCAGATGATCCCCGGCGAGCACTGCGGGAGCCTTCCGCTTTGTGCCCTGGAGCACTGCTCCTTTGGGCACTGTTGGTGGACGTCCAGTTTACACCCAACGTGACTGCCTGCTCAGGTGAGGCTTCAGCCACAGCCCTGGTCCTCCGGCAAGGCGAGGCTCAGGCCTCAGTTCTTCCTGAAACTCCAGGCAGTAAATTCAGGGAGATCCCCTTGAGATGCCTTTCATCTGGCAGAGGGCCGGAGAGGGGTCCCTCCTCCCTGACCCCAAGTGATGGTGGGCAGAGAAAACACTTTCCAAGCACCTCAGCTCGTCAGTGCTTTTACCTCAGCCTCCCTACTTTCACTGTCAGTTTTGGCTCAAGAAATCCAGAAGCCTCCCTGCATGGTGGCTCACACCTGCAATCCCAGCACTTGGGAGGCTGAGGCAGGGCGATCACTGCAAGTTCAAGGCCAGCCTGAGCTCCATAGTGAGTGGTCTGAACTATATGGCAAGACCCTCAAAAGAAAGAAAGAAAGAAAGAAAGAAAGAAAGAAAGAAAGAAAGAAATCCTGAAGTATCTGTTGCTCTTAGCAGTGCCAGGGTGACCAGAAGCATTGTATTGGCGTCAGCTTCTTTTTTTTTTTTTTTGTCTTTCTTGAGACAGGGTCTTGCTATGCAGTTCAGGTTGGCCTTGAGCTCACTTTGTAGCCCAGGCAGGCCTCGAACTCTCAACGATCCTCCTGTTTCAGCCTCCCGAGTGCTGGGATTACAGGCATGAGCCACCATATCTGGCTTGGCATCAGCTTTTGAGGCCTGGCCAAAGCAGACAGAGCAGTGCCATTTGGGTATCTTATTTCATTGGATTTTATCCCAAATAATTGACATCATTATTTTTTTTTAAAGGGAGAAAAAAATGCAAATATTATAATTTTTTCTACGTCAAAAATTCAAAGCCTTTAATACAAACCACAGAACTGAGGAGACACTGACAATACATATTACTAAGGGCTCATATTCAGAATACACAAGGAATTCCTACAAACCAATTGAAAATGGCTGAAATCTTAAAACAGGCCCTCCCTAAAAGAGGATATCCCAATGACCAATAAAAACATGTTCAAGCTCATTAGTTACTCAGGAAAGGCAGATTAAACTCACTCACCAGAGTGGCGAAAAATAAAAACAAACCACTGAGTGTTGATGAGATTATACAGCAGCTGGAATTTCCTGTATCAATGAGGCAGAAATGTAAACTGACAAAACTATGTTGACAAACTCCTCTAGGGATAGCCATTAAGTCTGAGAGTCTGGATTAGGGGTATAGCGGTATAGCTCAGCAGTAGAGCACTTGCCTGGTATGTGTGAAACCCAGGGTTCTATACCCAGCACCACACAAACAACCACAAAAAAATCAACAACAAACAAAACCACCTGAACTTTTCTTTGTTGTTGTTCTTTTTGAGACAGGGTCTCATTATACAATTCAGCTCACTTTGTAGCCCAGGCCGGTCTCAAACTCTAAACGATCATCCTGCCTCAGCCTCCGAGTGCTGGGATTACAGGTGTGCGCTACCCCGCCCGGCACTGAACTTTTGACCCAGTAATTTCATTCTTAGGTATTTATTCAATGCACTTGTGTGGTACACTAAGAGATATATTCGTGAATGTGCAAAGCTGTATCATTCTTTGTAGCTCCAAACTGGAAAGAATCCAAACATCTATAGATAATAATGGATACATAAATAACTGGTATATTCAGAAAAGGGGATATCATGCAGGAAGACAAACGCGCTACTGCTACACGCAGCAGTGTGGATGAATCTCACAGGAATAAAACCAATTACATTTACATAAACTTTGGTTTTGGATTTTTGAAACAGGGTCTAGCTATGTAGTTCAAGCTGGTTTTGAACTCAGTATGTAGCCCAGGCTGGCCTGTAACTCATGGGAATCTTCCTGCCTCAGCCTCCTGAGTGTTGGGACATCTACATAAACTTTGAAAGTAGGCAGATCTATGGTATTAAAACTTGAGAGTTGGCTGGGTATGATGGTGCACATCTGTAATATCAGTATTCTGGGAGGCTAAGGCAAGGGGATTGCAAATTCCTGCCCAGCCAGGGCAATTTAGTAATTTTGTAAGACTCTGTGTCAAAATAAAAAATAAAAAGGGCTGGGGATATAGCTCAGTGAAAAGTCCCTGGTTCAAGCCCCAGGTCTGCTGAAAAAAAGGAAGTTAAGAAAAATGATTTCTAGCTAGGTGTGGTGACATCTACCTCGAATCCCAGAACTCTAGGAGGTGAAGCAGGACTGTAAATTCAAATCCAACTTGGGCAATTTAGCAACTTAGTGAAAACTTGTCTTAAAAAAAAAAAAAAAAAAACACCCTCTGAGAGTATAGCTCAATGCAAAATTCCTAGGTTTAATCCCCAGCAGCCCTCCCCCACGTGGGATTCCTTTGGGGAAGAGGGAAGGAGCAACACTGATTAAGTCACTTGACTTCTCTGAGCCTCTGTTTCTTCACTTGTGAAAGAGCAATGATGCGAGGGTACTTCCTTAGAGAATTACTACAAAGGCCAAATAAGAGAATATGAGTAAACGCGTGCTGGGAACCATAACAAACGTCGGTTCTAATAACAAATACACTGCATGACAACTAATTTTAAGGCCAATCTTTCTTCATACATTGCTCTTTCAAGAAACTATTTAACCTCCAGCTGAGGGGCAGGAAGTGGAGGCCTCCTATACTACCCAACGCGCATGCGTCACCAGCAGTTGTGCGGTATCACCACACAGATACGCGAGCCCACAAGATAAATTTAGAAGACTTTCATGGCCATGAAATATCGGCATCTTCATGCGACTGGCTTATCTCAAAGGGCAAGTATAGGAAGGCTCTTTCTTACTTTAATCTGGATGTCTCGGTTACCACTATGTTGGTTGCAAACAGAAACCAAGCCCAGTTAATTTAAGCAAAAAAAAAGAGCGTTTCACAGAGCGCAAGGGCAGTGAAGTAGCTGGGCTTCTGGAATCAGGATCTGCTCAGCCTTGAAGGATCCGGGCCTTGCACCGCACTCTTGTCCCGTCCCTCTCAGCCTGTCTGCAGCTGTCTTCCCGCACAAACAGATCAAAGCCCTCTTCTTCCTTGGGCACAGGCTGGGGAGCAGCGGCCCCGAAATCACTCCAAGTTGATAAACCCTTCCTCCCTGAAGTCCAGCCCATCCTGCTGGGCATTTAATCAAATTGCCCGGGAGAAAACTAGTTTGGCCTGACTTGGGAAGAGTGAGCGCGCTGGCCTCATCAAACGCCCCAGCACCGCGTGTCTTGGTGCCGATCTGTTGGCCGGGGACACATCCCACCAGGCAAGGGGTCTGTTTCTTGGAGAAGGTGGGTTGTGAGCTGGGAGGAATTTTTTTTTGGAACCAGGGGTTTCCCTATATTGCACAGGATGGCCCTGAGCAATCCTTCCGTCCCAGATTCCTGGGTAGCTGGCGTTACTGACGTAAGCCACCTCACCTGGCTTCTTTCTACAGATTTTTAACTACAGTAGCAGCATCCGTTGTTTGCTTCCTGTATCTTTTTATTTTTTAAGCACTGAGAACCCAGAGCCTCTCACACGCTAGGCAAGTGCTCTGCTGCCGAGCCACTCCCTCGGTCCTTTTTCTAAATTTTATTTTATTTTATTTTATTTTATTTTATTTTATTTTATTTTTTTTTTTGGTTTTTCTCCGGTACCGGGAACCGAACTCACAACCTTGTGCTTGCCAGGCAGGCGCTTTTGCCGCTGAGCTAAATCCCCAGCTCCCCCTTTTTCTAAATTTTATTTGAAGACAGGGTCTTGCTAAATTGCCCATCTGCCTCCCCCTCCCAAATAGCTGTCATTACAGTTGTATACCACCATGCCTGGCTCTTCTGTGTCTTTTCTTTTGTTTGTTTGTTTTTGTTTTTTGAGACAAGAGTCTCACTATGCAGCTCAGTTTGGCCTCAAATTCAAAGCAATCCTCCTACCTCAGCCTCCCAGATACTGGGATTACAGGTGTGGGCCACCAGGCACAGCTCCTGCTGTTTCTTTAGGAGTTATTCCCACAGCCCTGCTCAGGATGGACGTCAAACCACGTGACCCTTGACATTCAGGTGACAGCTGGTTATCTAACCCATTACAGGCCGGTCACATGTTTTCGGCCAGAAACTTGGAAATGGGACCTGAAGGCTGGGTCAGTTAATTACCCTAGGGTCCTCGTAGGCCGAGGCAGGCTGATGCTGCAAAAGCCCTGGGTACGCACACACAGCCACGGGAAACTTGTCTTCTTCAACACAGTGGGACACAGGCCGCTGGAGAGAGGAAAGGAGAAAGGAGGGCTCTTGTCTTTTAGAGAGAGCCCTGGCGCCAGATTTCCCAGTTGCCAGCCCCGGCCCCAGTGAATCCTCACACCCAACCTGCAGTTGGGTCGCATGAGCTCTTCCTGTCTGCTCCTGAGCGACGGCGATACGGCGAAAATGACGTCAGCAGATCTGTGCTCCTGGTAACGGAAGGATGCGAATGAATCTGCAAACAGTGCCCCAGGGAGAGCCCTCTCCACTCCACGCAGACCCGAGGGCAGGTGCTGGGAGTTCTAGCCGCAGTTGCGTACAACAAGCTGTTCTTCTGGGACGTCCTGTAAGTAATCAGCAAGACTCAAAAAAAGAAAAAAACCAAAACACAAGACGGTTCAGCGGTGCCTACCCCGTTAGCATAAACGCAGTAACAGAAATATGACGCATAGGGGCTGGGGATTTAGCTCAGCCGCACAGCGTCTGCCTGGCAAGCGTGAAGTCCTGAGTTCGATTCCCGGTACCGGAAAACAACAACAACAACAACAAACAAACAAAAGAAAGAAATATGACGCATAATCCCAGCTTCTGGGACTAAAATCTAGTTGAGAAGAAGATATATAGCATGCCTAAAACAATTAGAGACTAGCATAAAGCAGCGTATGATTAAGTATTAAATTGCACGGTGCAGAAACGGGGCTCCTGCCCTTCCGGAAGCAGAGAACAGGTCGAGGCGTCAGTGGGCGGGGGTGGGGGAGGTGGGAGATCATAAACCAAAGCAGACTGGAGAGGGAAAGTGCTCAGCTCACTGACTAGCGTATTTGCTTCCAAATAGTTCTCTTCTTTCTGATTACTGTTCTAGCTCATGCTGAGCTCCACCGTAATGTTGGGAAATAACACAAGCTCACTGCTTTAACTGACGCTGTTCTTCGGTACAATCTGAACAGCATTTTCAGTGACTTAGCAGATTAGGGTTCCCCGGGGCCAATCAGCTATTGATGAAGTGTTTTGAAACAAACAGTAACAATCATGTCTAATTCCTCATGTTGGTTATTCTACGTGGCCCTGAATAATGGTGATTAATAGCAAACAAATCTTAACACAGTCATCCACATATGAATAAGCATGTGTATTCACGCAGCAACTGAAATTCATAAAAGTGCTTAATTTTATAATATAATCACTTTATACTAAGCAAAGAGGAGTCATGCTATAACATTACAGTAAAAGAAAATTGCTGCAGTAGTGCTACATAATCTTCTAAAATACACACAAAGAATATAGCTTGGAGAAAGAAACAAAAATATATATACATTCCTTTATGACTTGTTATTATGAAATTATTGTTATAATTCTAGAATCGACCTATATAATTATGAACAATGACCTTTATTTGGTGTTACCTTGCCATAGAATGACTGTATGAATTTAGTGTTAACAAAAAGCACCAAAATGGTTGTCCTTTGTGGATAAATGACTACTCTGGTATAGTTTGAAAATTACTTTATTGTTGATAACTAATTGCATTATAAGATCATACAATAAAAACTATACTTTAAAAGATGGCTACCAAGTGTGGTGGCACATGCCTATAATCCCAGCACTGGGGAGGCTGAGGCAGGAGAATTGCTGTGAGTTTGAAGCCAGCCTGGGCTATATAGTGAGTTCAAAGTCAGCCTGAACCACAGAGTGGGACCCTGTCTCCAAAAACAAAATAAAACAAAATAAAACAAAGCTGTTCCCCCTATTCTATAGCTATTTCCTGCATCAAATTTAATCTTCAAGTGTAGAGATGAATAAAAGAGAAATCAAGTAGAGAATTTTCATAACCAATTTTGTCCATTTTACACGCCTTTTAGAATGGTGCTTGGAAAAGAATAATTTTCTTTTAATCCTTAGTGTCTTATTTGATCTTTTTACTTCAAAGATAATCAATTAGCTTTTAATTGCTTTTCAGAAAATTAGAATGTTATGTACTATGTATCCCTTTAATTTCTTTTTAGAGTTAACACATATCAAAGACTTATTTATTCATTAATGACAGAACCAAAAATATATAAAGCTTGTCCAAAGTGTAACTGTTTAACTTCTTTTTGGAGACAACGTCTTTCTCTGCAGCCCAGAGTGGCCTCAAACTCACTGCCATCGTCCTGCCTCAGCCTCCCGAGTTCTGGGATTACAGGTGTGCAGCACCATGCCCAACCTTTGTTAGGATAGCTAAGAATAGCTAAGTGGTAGAGTGCTTCCCTCAAATGTGCAAGGCCTGTGTTCAATCCCTAGTACCATAAGAAAAGGAAAAAAAGCAAACAAGAAAAAGAACAATTTTAACATAATAAACCCATGATGGAAATACACAGAAACTACTTTTTGTTTTGTTTTGTTTCTGGTTCCGGGAATCGAACTCACAACCTCATGCTTGCCAGACAGGCGCTGTTCTGCTGAGCTAAATCCTCAGCACCTAGAAACTACTTTTCAAAACACAACCTCAAAGCAAAGCAAGATAAAAAGTAATGTAAAACACTATGTTGGACTTTAAAACATAATGTTTTACAATTGACGTGGCAACAAAATATTTCTTTCTTTTTTTTTTTTTTTTTTTTTTTAAAGAGAGTAGTAGGCCGGGTGTTGTGGCACACGCCTGTAATGTCAGCACTTGGGAGGCTGAGGCAGGAGGATCATTGCGAGTTTGAGACTAGCCTGGGCTGCAAAGTGAGCTCAAGGCCAGCCTGAACTGCATAGTGAGACCCTGTCTCAAAAAGACGAAAAGAAAAAAAAAAGGAGTAGTCAATGAGAAACAAAGAAACAAAAAAACAGGACAGTAGCAGCATCCCAGTATCACAAACATAAACAAATCAAAGCAAGAACATTCAAAGTGATACAGGGTCTCAAGACAAAATAATATGATTCAACAGTGGTTGTTACATTACATATCACTATCAACTACAATGTTCAGATTACCAGATGTAAGAATGAAAGATTGCTCAAACCATTAAAGAGAGTAAGAAATAATTCTTTGATAAAACAGTAGAGATAATACAGAGTATCACTAGACAAGATGGTAGGAGTTCACCATTGTAATTCCATTGCATATTGTTACCTTCAAATCAGTTGCTCAGACCACCAGACACAAGCATACACAATCGATCAGCACATAAAAAATTGTAAACATTAACTGTTCATTTCAATACACCATCAGACATTAGCAATATAGTTATTGCAGCTGTTCATATACATATATTTATATTTTGGCAACAAATTTTTAAAGAAAGAATCAAACTTGGAAAGTTAACCAATCTGGAAGGTATCCCATTCTTAAACCAAAAAAAAACCTCACAAAAAAACCAAAAAAATCAAACCAAAACAAAACAAAAAAAAATATGTGTGACCTAGAGGACAGAAATCAGTATTTATTGTGTTTCTACTTTATGTTAGATACTTGCGTGATGGTCCCAACCCATACTTATTCCACAAAGAAAGAACAGCCTCCCTCACATGTAGAAGAAAATAGCCTTATACCAGCTAAATAACTTGCTCAAGGAGCTGTAGCTAATGTTTGTTGGAACCTACTTATTACTGCAAATTCCTATTTCTCTCCTGACTCTCCAGGGTCAATTTTATTTGGAGCCATACCAACTGATTAGGTTAACCTTCAAAATCTCATAAAATGAATTTTTTTTTTGTAAAGAGAGAAAATAAATGTGTCTTTTCTATATTATTTAACATCATTAAAACTGCTGCTAAGAATCAAACACCTTCATACATGCTAGGTAAATGCTTTACTACTGAGTTATACCCCTAGTTCTGCCTGTCTCTTTAAAAGGCAGAAGATGAGTCAGGCCAGGTGATCTATGCCAGTGGTTGGGAGGCTGAGGCAAGAGGATAGCAAGTTAAGAGGCCAGCCTGTGCTACAGTGAAGACACTGTAACAGAATGAAAAAATGGAGGCAGGTGATTTTAAGTTAAAAGCACGCAAAGATATATAAAAAGTGAAGCATAAAGCTTTATTGAATCCTAATTAGGAAAATAAACGCATACAAACACACATACACATATAACACACGTAAACACATACACTCACAAGACAGAGATTTCTTGGGACAAGTTGGATAACAGATGACATTGTTGAATTACCATTAATTTTATTGGGAATCGTAATGTCATTATAACTGCAGGAAAAGCTCCTTTTTAGATATTACTTTTAAAGATGCATGTAGAAATATCTAAGAGCTAAGTGTTATGATATCAACTGATTTTTATGGGCTTCAGGAATGATGTAAGTATATACATAATTGGAGAGCAGTGAAATAAATAAGGCAATAATAATTGCTGGACCTAGGTAGAACACGTACAGATTTTTATTATAATTTTCTTTCAACTTTTCTCAAGGTATGAAATGTTCACAATAAAAAGTTTGAAGGGACGAGAGCATAGTTCAGTGGTAGAGTGCAGTATATACATAATTTAGGCTTTGTTTTGTGCTGTGTTCCTTCTTTTCTTTCTGGTGCTGGGACTGAATCCCCAGGGCTTCAGGTACCTTACCACTGCATTACATCCCCAATCTCTGATTTTTTTTTTTTTTTTTTTTGAGACAGGGTCTCCCTATGTAGTCCAGCCTGGCCTTGGTGATCCTCTTACCTCAAGCTTCCAAGTGCTGGGATTGAAGTGTGTGCCATTATACTCAGGTATGATTCCTAATACATGGAAGTACACTCAAGATTCTGGAAAGTTTTGAAGCAACTTTACTGAACGTTAATTGAATAAGTGAACTATGGGGAAGTGTTACTCTGAAAAGGTAGTCCCTAAAAACTCTTCATTTGGAAAATCCCTCACCTATCCCTGTATCCTTCCATCCGTATATTTAACAAATCTGTATTAGCATCTACTCTGCGCTGGACTCTGAATGAGAAATAAATGGCTACGATCAATACTTTTAAATTATCTGGGTCCTTCATCTATCATGTGGACTAGTTGAGCTGTCCTGCTTTTGCCACTTATGGTGATGTTTTTAATGAAAAGAAAAAATACGAAGAAACCATTGAAAAACTGGCTACAGCAGAGTAATATAGAGGGGGCTAAGCAGGGAAACTGTAGTGTCTTGACAGAGGAAATAAACTTGAGTAAGCTTTGAGGAGAAGAATTTTGGTTTTGAGCACATGACCCAATTAGGGTGCTTTTGGTTTCAAGTAATAAATAGAAAATTCAACCAAAAGAGACACAAAAGCAAAGTACTGTTTCACTTAATGTGAAATTTGGGAGTAGAGCGGTTTCAGGGTTGTTTCATTTAGTAGTTTGACAGTATCATCGGGTCCCTTCCTGCTTTACATTCCTTCATGCATAATAATTTGGTCTTTTTTCCACAAGCTTGTCTCTTTATGGTCACAAAATGGCTGCCATAACGCCAAGTGTCACATTCTTACAGAATAATACAATTACCTAAAGTTTGCAAAGCTCCTTTGATAGACCTGACATTGTTTTAAGCATTAATTCCATTGGTTCTCATCTTATGACTAGGTTTTATTATCCCCGTTTTACACACGAGGAAACTGAGTTACAGGGAAGTTAAAACAACTTTTCTACAGTAAGTGACATGATTAACATCCCACTGTTGGCTCCAGGAAAGGGAGTGAGAAACTTTTTCACATTTTGTAAGAGCAAGGAAAATTTGTCAGAATTCCCTTATCTTTAGCATATTTCCTGCAAGTGCCATTTTCTTTGCATTACACGCACGTTCCTGAAGCAATCATCCCAAGGAGGTAGGGGGATGGTATGACCAGGAGTAGCCTAATCAAGATTAATCTCTAGGGCAGCTCAACTTCCCCCAAAACGTGCCCTTTCACAGCTCAGTTTAGCCAAGCCTCAATTTAGCTATAGCAAAACACAAGCTCAAGGTAGGAAGGCTGCCGGGGGATGGCCATGGACTCTGCTGTAGACCAAAGTGCCTGGGGACCCTGAGTTAGAGACCTCCAAAGGGCTGAGGACGCACCAAGAAGACAGGCCCGGGGCTCTATACTCGGGCTTCAGGTGCGTTGGAACAGCAGCTAGAGTCATGAGAACGTGATACGATTTCAAGAAAGGTGACATAGAAATCAGAGGGCTTAAAAAATTGGTGAGAGGGGCTAGGGATGCAGCTCAGCGGTAGAGGGCTTGCCTAGCACGTGGGAGGCCCTAGCTTTGATCCCTGGCACAGCGACAGAAAAGCAAATTGGCCAGGCTTGGTGGCACACACCTGTAACTGCAGCACTGAGGAGGCTAAGACAGGAGGATTGTGAGCTCCAGGCCAGCCAGGGGTGCATTTTTGTGAGGTTAAGGCCAGCCTGGATTATACAGGAAGCGCCTGTCTTTAAAAAACCAACAAAAGGAAAAGAAATTGATGGGAGGGGTGGCTGAAGCAACACAGCACAAATATTGAGACTTGTTTATGCAATGTGCTATGTAAGGGTCACTGTATTTCCACCTCTATTTTTGTGTGTTTGAAATTTTCCTAATAAAATAGTTCGAGCCAGGTGTTCCAGGATGCACCTGTAGTCCTAGCTATGCGGGAGGCTAAAGTAGCAGGATTGCTTGAGTCCCTGAGTTCCAGGACAGGAGTTTGAGACTCCATCTCAAAAAAAAAAAAAAAAAAAAAAGAAAAAAAGAAAAACTAAAAGAAAAAACTAGCCATGGAGGCTTGGGAACTCTATGAAGGAGCTCTCTCTCTTTGGTCCCCAGCCCTATACAGAGATACAACTTAATCCTTGTATAAGGTTTGCGTTCATCCTTTCACTTCAAAATAAGTTCTGAGAGGATATAAGAAGCCTTAGTATGGTCTCTCGTTGGCTCATTTTCCAGCCATTTCTGCCGATGTCTTCTCTGTTCTTCTGGAAGCTTCTGGTGTCTTCTCCTGTCACTTTTGGCCTTGGAGCCTGAATTGCTTAGTCTTGATCTCCAGTTTTCTCATGGCCAGGTACCTCTCTCTAGACAGGTTATCTAACTGGTAGGCCTCTGCTACTTGCCAGAAATATTAGGCCTTTATCTAAGACATTAAATGTGGACCTTATTATGAAACTGTTAAGGCTTATATCTGGATGTTTCTGCAAAGCCTCATGCACTCATAGCTGGGGCTTTTCAGAGCAGGCTGGAGCTAGGGCTTGTGATGCTGGGATTAAGGTGTGCGGTACTAAATTAGTCCACTGACTGGAATTAGCCTAATTCTGGGTGTGGATAAAGGAAGCCCCACCCTGGGTGTGGGTGGCACCAATCAATAGGATGGAATATAAAGGGAGAGAAGGAAGGCGGACTTGCTGCTGCTGCTTTGCTAGCTTCTGCCTGCTTTGCCATGGACTGTTTTTCCTCTGCGATGCCCCTCTGCCACGCTACCCTGCCTTGGATGCCACGCCATCCAACTATGGACTGAAACCTGTACAAACTGTGAACTGAAATAAATCTTTCCTCCTTTGAGTGTCAGGTATTTTGTCTCAGCAATGAGAAAAGTAACTAAGAAAGCTTTTAAACTAACAGCACTCAAGTCCTGCATTCTCCTTTTACCATGAATGTTTCATTTGTAATTTTTTCTTACAACCATCTTCCTGGATGCCTGCAGAATAATCAATCTGTGACTCGACTTCTATATTCACCTCCTTGATGTCTGTTCCATCCTCACAGTCTGCTTGGATTCTTAAGATCAGCACTCAAGGCCAGCTTAGACAGCAGGAGAATAAGAGCTTTTAAATGGGAAAAGAGTGGTTGCAGATATGAAAAGACAATAAAAGGAAAAGCAATATAGTGTCTCTGAGGTATGAACAAACCACCATCTTACATGAGCAAATGGTAATGCTATGAAGCAAAGGGTAAAGAGTTGGCAAAAAAATGTACAGTTTATTGTAAAAGGAAAACAGATAACAGAGAGAATGCATAATGTAAATGAACTTGCACATAAATGTTAGACTGCTTACATAAATAAATGGCTGTTATTATTATTCCACTGCCAAGCATATTTAAACACTTTGTACTTTGCAGCATTTATAGTTGGGCTCCATGTGAAAAAATCTTCTGATACCACACACAGTGTTGTAATCATAATCTCAATCATCTCATGTGCTTGATGACCCTCACTTTAAAACACAAAGGAGGGTCTGGCTGTGGGGCAACCAGCTTCGGCTGTGGATTGTGTGCAGTATAGAAAAAACTTGATCAACTTCCTGTCTTAGCAGGAAGTGGGGCTGGCATAGGGGGAGGCAGGCCCAGCCTTGGCTGGCAGCACTGAGGAGAGAGAAAATATTCAGCAAATGCAATTCAGTAAGCACTTACTGAGCATCTATTATGTACCATGCACGATGAAAGAATTATTTGTGCTGAATTGGGTATTACTGTCCACAGCAGGGGTAGAATGATGCCACTAATGCGTTTTTGTTTTGTTTTGACATAGGGTCCCTTTGACAAGTTCTGTTCTTAAATACATAAAATAAAGGCAAACTATTACTGTATATTGAAAGTTACCAAACCATTATAACTTTATGATGCAGCAATACATAAGCTTCTTTATTAATGCATTAAATAACAAGATCTAGTGGTGGATCTACTCTCATTGCAAAATAGTGATGAATATAAGCAGCATTTCTAAAGATCTGTAACAACTCTCACATGATATGAAAATTATCAGTAATTTCTGTTGGCAATAATGGTACTGTTAATGCTCCTTTGGTGTATTGTATACATTCATAATTGAAAGAAAAGCTAAGGTTTAGGCAGAGGTTAGGAAAAACAAATGTGTAATTTTTTTCCCATCCAAGTTCTTAAACCCCTGAGTTCACCTCATAGATCTCCTTGGACTTGCTGGGCCACAGAGTGCATGCGTGTGTGTGTGTGTGTGTGTGTGTGTGTGTGTGTGTGTGTTTGTGTGCACTCATGTGTTCCTACCATGTCCTTCAGAGAAGATAGAAAATTGAGACAATAAAATGACCTAATAATTAACACATTGGCATTGGCATCGGACAAGTGCTCCAGAATAGGAAGAGCAAAGCATTTATAGAAATGGGGGAGAAGCAAAGAGGAGAAACCAGAAAAGTTTTACAATGAGGTAAAGAGGAAAAAAAGACGGAGGTAGGAGGATTGCAGGTTTGAGCCTAGCCTGGGGGACCTAGCAAGTTCCACTGCACTACATAATAAGACTGTCTCAAAGACAGAGGGGACACGCCGGTCTTTTGGGGTCTTCGGACCAGCGACTCACTCCCG